AACAAAGTTTGAGATCAGAATTTAATTTCTAGAAATTAGATGGGGTAACATGTAAAATATATATTTTACATGTTACCCCCATCTATATATATATATATATATATATATATATATATATATATATATATATTTACCAAGATTCTCTAAAATAATAATTTCATAAATAAATTCATTCATCTGTGAATAAGTTCTGAAAGTTTAATTAAAATTTCACAATTTGATTTTTGTAAGAATTTCAAAATTAATGTGTTATGTATAAAAGAAAAAAAAAAAGATTTTCAATCAAAATTTTGACCATCTTAGAAAAAGTAAATTTTAAAAAATACTTTGGTCTTTCCTCTTAATAATAACATAAACATTTTGATGATAAAACTTTGTTTTTAAATTTGGGGCCTTTTTTCATCATGCTATACTGTTTTTTATTAAAATAGTGGAAGTACCTACATTAAAATGTCAAAAACTATTTTCCAGAAAAAAAATTTATCAAAAGAAATGTGAAATATTTGAACTATTACTACTAGATTTGTACTTAGTTTTTTAATGAATTAAAAAAACATTTCACTGAAAAACATCTATTTGTCAAACACTCATTAACTTGGTAACTTTTTAATTCTCTGTAGACTAATTATAGTAAAATTTTTACTTATTTCCATTAGCAAAACTTCTTGTTTTCATTTCCTATATAAGTTGATGTTAAGCTAAAATTCATCTTCAAAAGTAATTTTCTAAAATAAAACAGCAATAATTAATATATAATTCCTTTCCATATTAAATGAACTGAATGATATTCTTTTTCTTTTTAGTCTGAAGAAACTAAAGGCAGTGCCAAAAAGAAGACCAAGGGGAACAGTTCTTTCAAAAAAGCACGATAAAACCATGTACCTTCCATTGCACCATTCTCAGAGTAATAATTTTTTTTTTTTTTTTTTTTTAAAGAATTTTATGAAATGGTGGCCAAAAATTCTGAATATTTAAAAGAAAAAGTTCTTTCTGATATTTTAGAAATAAAATCATCCTTTTAAAATAAAAATGTATCTAGTGTTTTCTTGTAATATTTTCTTAAAATGTTTTGGGAGGAATGAACTTGACTTGACACCGATATGATTTCTAATCTGTAACCAATCAATGACTCTGCTGAAGTCATAATAATTCATAAAATGTTGTTTAGTTACCTGATGTATTGAGAGAATCTAGAACACTAGGGAGTTTGGTTTGAAAATATTAACCGGAACCTATAAAAATGCTTAGAATGTTAGCGGGATATGAACCCAAAGTGAACCTAGTAAGACTTAGTAAATTCGATAGAACTGGGTTTTCCCTGCTCCACCCTTCATTACCTGAGGAAGTTAGTGACAAGAACCAAAATTCTGTGGAATCCAAATAAATTTGGGAAATGTTTAAGCACCCTGCATAGCACTTATATTGAATTTTTACAAAAAAATATCCAGTCCCAAGTAATTTAGAAGCAAAGGTTGCATACAGCGGTAATAAAAAGTTCTTTGTTGGGGATAATATCAACCAATGCCATGCACCAGGTGGAAGTGTATATAAACCAAAGCACATGACTGCATAATTTGCAGTTGCATAAGTTTTTGCTGCAAGAGATCTTTGTTGCACTATCTTATATTTCTCACAAACACGCACATCTAACATAGCAGTTAACCCTTTCTCGATACATCAAGATCTTCAAATTTAAAGAGTGCAACTTTTTTGAACTACTTGTTATTAAATTGTTGATTATTAAACCGGCATTTTCTTCTTTGGCTGCTTATAATCTGTTTACCTCTTAAGTAAACTTCTAAGAAACAAAAAACAACTACTGCTTGAAAAATCGTACAGATGATTGTTGGCAGGTACACAATGAATCAATAACTTTATCAGAGGGATCAGCTGCAGATGGAAACATTTTGTCAAGTTGTATTGCATTTTAAGAATGTAGTTACTATATCCACTGAAAGTTTTAAGCATGTTTTTTTGCATTCAATAATAATGATATTTTTGGGAAAATACTCATTAATGTTTTTCTTTTCATAGCTTGTGTGTATTCTTGATTAACTGACAAGCTCTAGTCATTAGACAACGGTTAATGGCTATATTATGTTGAAACATTGGTTCTCATACAATCACTGAAGTTAAGCAACGCCAAACCTGATTAATACCTAAATAGGTGACCACTTGGGAATACCAAGTGCTGTAAGCTTGAATGTGTGGGTAGTGTAATGGATAATGGCTTGGAATTATTCATTGAAGAGCTGAGTTCCAATTCACTTATGCACAAATACCATTGGGAAATACCACTTCTCCCCCAGTTGTAGGTTAATTAGTAGGACTTGTATGACTAAATTATTATCTCAAAAAAAAATTCTTACACTCTAAAAATAGTTTTTGGCTTTAAATAACCTGTAAAAGGTTTGATAAGCTGTAGAAAATGAATCAATTACATGACTTGATATTTGTTTTCATTGTAAGGACCAGTTGTAATGATGGAATTATGGATGTTTTCATCATGATAGCTTGAGTCTTCTCTATATCTATTGAGAGGATAAATATGATTTTACTAAAATCTCTTTGATAGCTCAAGATACAAAGTTTGTTTTGGTTTGAAAACACTTTCTGAATGTCATTTGTATTTCTTAGGAATAAAAGAAAACTTCTTTTTCCATACGGATCAGTGCTGCATCTTAATTTAAGACGGATCTCTTCTCATAAGTGGTCACGAAATAAGTGATTAATGCAAGTGAATTTACAGGTCCTGTTGATCAGTGCTTTTGTTATATCCTTTGCTCTACAAAGTAGTGTGGTGTAGAAGAGATCACTGGCTCTAAGTTTCAGCACGTTTTATTTTTAGCTTATTCCCTTATTCAAAAGCATTAGCAGTATAGCTATTTACTAACTGTAACTTACATGTGGCACAAGACTAAAAGTATGAAGAACCCAGTGAGGCTCGAACTTACTACTCAGTTGTAATTGGCAGTGGTTCCCAAACTTTTTTTCTGGACTGCATTTTCAGAATGAAAATTTACTCACACCTCATCAAATTTTATGTGATAAAAAGTACATATAATCTTACTTATTATAAAACGCAGATTGTGTGTGTGTGTGTGTGCCTGTACATTTATATATTGGATCAGATTTCCTACATTTTTCAACAAAACTTCACAGGACTACATAAAATTACCTTGCGGTGGTTCTAACAGCGCCAAAAATTGGAAAAACAATTGTTTTTGCACAAAATCAATTTAAAAACACGATTAATCACGAGAATGAAAGGGGGACAACTCATATCGAGTTATGCTTATTATCAAACCCAGGTTTGTGTGTGTGTGTGTTCTTTTATATATGGGATTGGATTTCCTACATTTTTCAACCAATTTCAACAAAACTTCACTTTTTTTTGGCAGGTAGTGTTTCTTATTGTCTTGCACACTTTTTTCTTTATTTTTACATTCAGAATGCATTAAAAATTCCATTTACAAGACAATTGTTTATAATAAAATTCTATTCAATCAATAGACTCATAATGATTGAAAACAATGTTTTTGTTTGAGTTTGGGTTTGACCAATTCATAAAAAAAAAAAAATAATTAAGACATGCGTGTCCATCAACCTTAAACAATAAGTTTTATTTGTCAATTTCATTTTTCAGTCTTTATGATGGTTGATACTTGATCTATCTCTTACTGTTACATCGCCGGGCTCTACTGCTAGTAATAAATAAAAACAGCGCTAGGGTTAAAGGGAGATAACCGCTAATTCAATGTCGGAACATTATCTTTGATAATTTGTGGAGCCTAGTTACTATATTAATATAATGCAAAAATATCACAATGATAAAATCGGTCAATAATTATTTATAACGATACTGGGACTAATGCATGCAATTACAGGTAATCCATAATGATATTTTAAATCATTTATTTTTTACATGAATTTTTTGAAACTGTTTCTAAATCTTTGTCTTTCAATCATTCCACACCATTTTGGAACCACTGGTCTAGTGAGACAAGCTTGCTAACCATTGCACCATATTGAATTTCCCAAGCAATAGCAGTATATGCAAAAGTTGAATTGATATTCACAAATACTACTTTGTAGTTCATTACTAATATGCTTAATGAGCATGGCCTTGTGCCAGACTAACCTCAATGAAATTGTTATAATGCAAAATTCTTTTCGAACATAGCATTAACTTACACAGAATTATATATTTCCAAACAGCTTCATCATAAAAGCAAATAAGCAACTTGATACCATAACTCTGAAACAGCCATTTGATATGTGATTTACAGCATTTTAATTGAAAGCACTAATTATAATCAGTCTTAAGAAATATAATGGTCCAGTTACCAAAAGAAATTATTCATGTTATGATTGTGATTCCATTAAGACAATTTTATTAGCTGCACAAACACATGACAAAACGGTTTATTGCTTTGTTACATACATTTGTGATTTTGGAGTTCTGACCATAAGTAAAAAAAATCTCAAGAAGTATCAGGTTTATATAAAATTTAATATTTTCTCAGACATTTTATACAATAAAAATATTCAAGTCAAACATACATGAGGTTCTCTTTCAGAATAATTTACTTTTTCTGTCTATTCATTAATTTGAAAAAAGAAAATCATCACAGGTCACACCCAAAGTTTGGCATTTGTCAGAAAAATTTTTTTTATTTTTTACCAGTTAAAAAAATAATGTTTAAAATTAATAAATTTAAGAAAGGTGATTGCCATATTTCTCCCTCATTAATGCCATGAGTGATTAAATACTCTTGAAGAGGCACCATGTTTACAATGTCCATGCCTTTCAATCACTTTTCTAAGAAATTGGATATCACTTAGTTAGATATTTATTTACAGTTGAAAGTAACAGGAATCAAACTTTGCTGCTGCAGAATTTACAAGATTATAATATATATTCTTGTAAATTCTGCAGAAAATGCATGAATAAACAAGTCTTTTTTTTTTTTTTTTTTTTTTTTTTTTTTTTAAAAAGTTTACATATCTTTGAGAGCCTTTTCAAGGACCTCAGGGACTTGCGCTCCAGACTTGATAAACATATTTCGACATAATTTAAGCTCTGATTGAAGTTGAGCTACTTTGCTTTCCAAAAGTTTATTCTCCTTCCTCAGGTAGTCAACACGCTCCTTGGCCATTTTCTGTTGTTCTTTAGCTTTCTCTCTGCTTTTTCGTACAGCAATGTTGTTACGATCACGTTTGTTGCGATAGTCTGGTACATCAGTTGAATCGGGATTGGACATCTTTCGGCGACGAGAATTAATTTTGGAGTTAGGTTTTACGTCTACTAATGTAGCTTCACTACCAGCTGCCAGCGATGTCTGTGTGACTGAAAAATAAAATAGAAATAAATTCAATCTAAGCCAAACAATCTGAAAATCGAAAGCAATTGAGTTAATTAAATTGAAAAACTAATCATTTAATTTATTTAAAAATGCAATTAGGTCATTTTTATATGCCATGCTTTTAATTTGGATATCAAAGAAAAAATTTGAAAGGGTTGTTTATTGTACTAAAATTTCAGATTTTAGCATTTGTTTAACAACTGCATCTTTGAAGAAATAAATGTCAAATAAGTTATTTTTAAAGTTTAAAAGTAAAACTATTGCATTAAAAAAAAAAAATAGTTAGAAAAAACACTACGTGGGGGTGGAGAGCACAGGTTGAGGTCGCCTAGGAAAATCCCTCATGAAAATCCTTTGTAGCCAAATGCTATCTATTCAGCGATCTGCAATATCTCTTCTGCATAATATTCTGTGAACGTTCATTGTCACGACAGACATTCGTTTTTTTTTAATCTACCTCTAACTACCATAGCTTGATTCTTCTTGTTAAGCAAGATGATCAATGTAAAAAAAAAATATATATAAAAACTAAAACAAAAAGGTATGGTGGGATGAAACTGAAAGCCTTTTTTAAAAAATCTCACCAGATGACAATGATACAGCTCCTCTTGAATTATGATTTATTTTATTAAAACTAGTTTAAAAAAATGAGCAAGAAAATTACTGAGCTGTTATAGATCATTTATTGTTAGTGACAAGTAGCAAAATAATTATTACGAATTTACGAAAATTTAAAAAAAAGAAAAAGAAAAATGACATCCGATTTTTTTGCATCAATGATTTTTAAACTAAAAACAGTACTGAACTTTTGCTTGGTCGTTGTAAAAGTTCAATATCCAATCTAGTTTTATTTATTTTTTTTTATATATATATATATATATTTCTTATGACCTTGTTTATTTCTTGTTTATTTAAATTGCAATATTAATAATTATACTGCCAATGTAAGTTAATTTATCTATTTTTTCATAATTAAAATCTGAATGATAATTCAATAATGTATTAGGTGGAATCTTAAAGAAACTTGTTAGGTTCCGATACTACGGCAATTTTCGTTATCAGTTTCCACCTGACATCAAACTGCTTAGATCGCAGGAGAATCTTACCAAAAGCCTAAAAGGCTTATTGTCAGTTCTATATAATTGAATTGATAGAATATGTTTAAAAAACGAAGAATTGCTTATCTTAGAAAATGTCTCAAAAACACGATGCAAACAAACTTAGGAAAACGACTGGAACATGTTTATTCGCGGATTTTTTTTCTCATTCAAGGAAAAGTAATTATTATTATTATTATTGGAATAATTACATTTCGAACGATATTTTTCGTTTTATTTCGGATGCAAGACTTACTCTTCAAATACAAAAGCCCGGAATATAGTTCAGCTAAAAAAACTAAATATCAATATGAGTATCAATTTTATTTCCACAATAATGTTTAAATAAATTTTTCATTGAAAGATTTTTACAAATTTTAAATTTTACAAATTTAAGTTTTTCACATTTTCGCGTTCTGATTAAAGATTAACTAGAAGTATTTCAAAATTTCAAGATTGAAAACTGATATTTCATGTGCGAATAAATGTGTATTTCCGGGTTGAGGTGAAAGGTCAGCGAGTGACAACAGATCCTTTTAAGACTAAGTTAAGAAAACAAAAAAGTTGACTAGATTTTACAAAATTTTAATCGTAATTAGCCGCAGAGATGAGATGTGCATTAAAAGAGGGATTATGATTCAAAACTTACAAGCCATATAAAAATGACGTCGACGGATGTCATTTCGAGCGATGATGCAATCTTGTCTCTTTTTGAGTATCATACAAATTATCGGAGGTAAATGTCATACAGACAGCATTAATAAAGTGATGATATCTAAGAAATCAGATTTTGTTAAAAAATGAATCCACAAAAAGAAGTTTCAAAAATGTCAATTTTGTTTTATTAAAAAATGAAATAGAGCGTAATTGGGAGAAAATTTTAAGATAAAGCATTGTATTGTTTAAGTAAAAATGTTTTCTTTTAAACGCCAAACGATTTGAAAAACTAATTATGTAAAAAAAATACCTAGCATTACAATTACATTTTCACTTTCAAATAAAAAATTGCTAAAAAAATAAATAAATAATTAAATAATTTCAATTTTCTACCTTTCCTTACGAAAGTGTACATTTCGAAAGAGAAACAAACATTAAAATAGAAAACAACAACTAAATATTAAGTTAAATTAAATTTTTAAAATAAAATTAAATTTAAATACGAAATTTGGTACTTTGTGGGTTATCTGTAGCAACTTTTTAACTTTTAATTTATTGATGATCTTTTATAAAGTCAGATGTGGTATAAAATGTTTTGTTTGTTTTTTTTTTTCAAACTTCTTTCTAAATGAATCTTCTTTGGGATACACATTTGTGAAAATGTTGGAAAATTAATTTAAAAGTGGCGACAGATAACCCACAAGTACCTGAAATTTTGTATGCTACCAGAAATAGTAAACAAAAAAAAAAAATCGGTGAATTCAACTTACTTGAAGCTAGGTCAATTTTTTCGAGTTTTAGTTGAGTAAAGTTTGTTGCCGCCACCGGGGAGTAAACTTGTAAATTCCCAACATTATTTGATTCAGATTGTATGTCAAATCCATTGATCAAAGAATGTCCGTTATTCTGATTGCCAGGGAACGTAAAATCAGGCACATGTGACTCATTTTCAAAAATAAATTCTGTCAGATCGTAAGAGTTTTCTGTCGGCCCCAGTCCTTCTTCAGGTGACCGACATTCCTCTTCCTCCTCACAATATTTGGTTGCTTCATTATAAAACTGTTCCATTATGATATTATTTATTTCGAGGTCTGAACAATTATAAGAAGAAATGTTTTTTGTTTATAAAAAGAAAAAGATTCCCGCACAAATACAAAGTATTCGGCCTTCAAACACTTTTAAATATATGACAAGTAAAGATAACAAGATTACGTTGAATAAAATAGATGACAAGTGTCAGGCGAACGTAGAACTAGTTTTTATATAATGGACGCATCACACTGATTCAAGAAAGAGTATTCATACACGTGAATAAGTTCCTGATTTGAATATTATTTATTTATTTATTTATTTATTTACATATGATTTAAAAAGACACTAATGTCTTTTAAATATTGTACAGTATAGTTACTTCCACAATTTTAAGAAATATTATTCTTATTAAGGAATTCATTTTTGTAATAGCCACTTGATAATGACGTTATAACTAATGCTTTTGATTGGTAGTTAAAAATAAACGTTGTGAAATAGGAATTTTTCACGCATTATTTTTATCATTTTTTTATGTCAATTTAAAAAAAAGGTGCTTTTGTAAAATTATTTCAGTGCACAATAGAACAGCAATTAAAAATCAGAATATCATCTTCACTTAAGACATCACTTACAAAATTATTCCAAAGTAATCAGTTCATTTTTGCAACTAAAATTAATTTTTGAGTTTTTGTTATAAAACTGAAAAAGCCAAAACTTACGAGTTCAAAAACGTTGAGAAGAAAACTTAAATAAAAAGTTAAAAACCCTCAATTACTACTAGAAACAGGTGATGAAATTGTGTAGGTGCCTCCAAAAAAACTGATGCTTTTTTTTCCGAAATAAAAGCAAAAATCGCTGCCCCTAATTTTTAAAAATATTTGCTAAAAATCACGGAATTAATTATCCCATTAAAAAGAAATTAATGAATTAATTAATTAATATTTTTTTAATGGATAGGTGTTTAGACAACTTTCGGAAAATATTTGTTTTGAGGTAATTTTCACTCCCCCTCCATCTTTTTGATATCTTGTGTGTACTTTTTTTTTAATTGGGGCTCAATTTTTTTTTTACAGTTAATGATTTTATAAAAAAATATGATGCAATATCATGTGAATTGGTATCAAATATAGATCAGAATCCAATATAGAATGATAAGATAAGGAACAAATATAAACCTTTCGGTTTCGTTTATAAATCTAACGTGTGTTTCGCTTTTCTTTTTCTTTTTTAATAAAGACAAAAAACTAAAAACATATTTATAATAGTTTCCTAGTTGTTTCTTAACTCAATAAGTGTGATCATACGGAAAATTCGCCATGCATCTTACGGTCTTCTTACCAAAGGTAATTCAATAAAACTCAAAAACTTTTCTTTTTTTTTTTTTTTTAGAATTGGTGCTTTCATAATTTAATAAAACTCGTTATTTTCTTTCAGTTGGGACAATCTACACTTTTTTAAAATTTTATTTTTAATAATTTTTTTTAAATTACTTGCAACATTTTCAGTATGATTTTGAAATTCACCTCCGTGACAAGAGTTTCTCTTATTAAATAAAGATGTATTTGAAGATTTAAAAAATGTAAATTTTAATGTCATTTTCGAGCGTGAACATTTTTTAAAAGAATTTTATTTTTTTCCTTTTAGAAAATGGTTGGAGTATTTTTCCTACGGATGTACAAAAAGGAGATAATTCTGATATCTCGCTTTGACTGACTGAAAATCGGAGGAGTAAAGATATTCTGATTTCAAATCTGTTCATTTTTTTTTTAAAATTTTGAAATCACTTTTTTTTTTTTTCGAACGATCGGTACGGTTTTTTTTTCGCGTGTGTTTTCCTGCATTTATCTACTGAATCTTTTATACAAGAACCAATACTTCAGTAAAAACTTAAAAAGTATTACGTAAGTTGTTTTTTTAAAGTTTTTATTATTTTAAAAACACTTTTTTGCCTTATTTTTTCCTCCATAATTTGTCCCCCTTCGCTACAAGAAATTTTCAGGATTACGACAAAACTATTTAATTAGCATCCATAAAGCAATACTTTATACTGTAATTTTTCTAAAATTTACTTTTAAATGTTTTTCTTTTCACAGTAATCTAATGAATGCAAATTACATTATTTGCGCTATATTTTTGTTTTGGTAGTGTCTTAAAAATACCTTCAATTTATTCATTTAAGCGTAGAATTAAAAATAAATAAATACATAAACTATTTGTTATATAAGTTTAAAGAAAATTTCTTTTTAAGCATAAATAAATTCTCGATTATTACACTGCTGGTCTTCCATATTTTTTCGCGCGCTTTTTGAACGAGGCGGAATTAGCTATTTTACCTCGCAGGCTACCGTGCGTAAATAAAACGTTATTTTCATTCTGTTTTAAAAATATGTAAGCATTATTTTTAGAAAATTCAGTTAGTCCTTAACTTTACTAATAGACTTTGAAACACATCTCTAGGACAAATATTGAAGAGAATTTCAAATCTGTTTACAAACTTTACATTTTTCATATAATGGCGGTTCCATAAGTGACGAAAAATCGTGCCAAAATTTTTAAACATAGAATAAAAAGTTAATCTATGTGGAAATCACTTTTTTCGTTTAATTCGGATTAGCGTTAGGTCAAAATAACTGAAATTTAAGGTGTTTAAATTATTTAAAATGTGTTTTCTGGATTTTTTTTTTAGAAAGTCCATTACGATACCTATGCAATAGTTATTGGACTCCAATTAAGTGAGAGAATTTACAATTGAATCACTGACATATTCTTATTTCTGCTTGCCAGCAAACTTGGACCTTCGTGTACGCAATAAAAACGGAGTATCAAACAAAAGGACAGTTTTTCCATTGACACCGCTATTATTTTAATAACCATCACACCTCGGCAATGCTTATTGTTTTTAAAAGCGATGATTAAAATTGTAATAAAACCTAAATGTATAATATAAAGTAAATTTATAATTTTTTTTTTGTTCTTGATAATTTACAATAAAAATATTAAACGCTAATTATTAGATTCTTTATTTACAATAATAATTTTATATTTAAAACATTCTAAAAAGTAATACATAATGCTGTAATTTATCATTTATAAAGAAAAAAATTTGAATTTTTTTTTATCAATAAACATTGACTAAATTATTAAAATATGTGAGCCCTTATTATTTACCATTTTATAAAGTTCGAATCAACTGCCAGTTAGCCGATGTTTTGCCAACCATTCCAATCATCACTTTTTAAAACAATACACGTTGCCGAGGAGTGAAAGCAGTTATAATAATAATAATAATAATAATAATAATAATAATAATAATAGCGATATCAATGAAAAAACCGTCCTTTTGACACACCGTTTTTTTTTTCGGTCACGAAGGTCAATATTTGCCCCAAAATATTAGGTACAGAAGATTATTTCATGTCTATGTACTGTTGAAATATATAACAAAAATTAAAACATAAAAGAAAGTAATGTACAATAATTAAAATGTGAATATAAAATAATAAAAAAATACAATAAACTAAATTTGTTTATTGCTCTTTCCCTTGTATAAAAAATTATATAAAAATTTTAAATTAAATAAATGATTAATAAAAAGGTGAAGATAAAAAAATAAACTAGATTTTAAGAGAAGTATTTAAAATAATTGAAAGAACGTGAGACGGTTAGTAAAAAATAATTAATACATGTGCAACATTTGTTCTTTAAACTTTATAAAAATAGAATGACTCGAGAAAACAAAAAAAAACGCCGAATTAAAGGCGGACGGTTTGTTACTTTTATTTTATTTTCAAATATCAAAAAAAGATACACTTTTGAATTTCATAGCCAATAAGGAGGGTGACTCCCTCCCATGTAAATTTAAAATTTGGGACTCGTATATAGAGCCTGAGGCCTATATAAAGAGTTGGTTGGAAAAATCAGAAGGGCACAAACTAGAGAAGGATTTTAGAAGGATAATGAATTTTGGCTGACACTGCTGGATGAACTAGACTATTTCTTACGAAAGAAGTAAGAAAACAAAAAACAAAACAAAAAAGTGAAAAAAAATATCCTGAAATTAATAATGAAATTGTGTTTAACAAATTTGTTCATTTTTTAAAAGGTCCTTGCGATTCTGGTGAATCTGCAAAGTATAAAAACTATCTCACTTGTTGGCTATTGTAGCTTGTGGGGATTTTCTTATTTTGTTCGATTCAGCAGTAGCAATGGAAATAATCAGCAGAATAAAACCGGAAATCCCAGAAGATTTTATAACCTTGACGAGCAGTACTCGGCCTGTTTCCCCTATTTTCCATGTCGCGGCCGCCTTTGTCCGCTCCCTAAAGCGGAAGAGAACAGGGCATTTCAACCTTGACCTTTCGATCGTGTTCCCTACACGCTGGTAATTTCATTTTATAGACGAACTAATTACCTTTTAGTTCATTGTTATTACGAACCTAGTCGTAATATACCTCTAAGCATTTTTAGACCTTAGTTTTCGCGTAGCAAATCTCAACTCATTTTTTAGAGAGATTTTTTAGCATTTTAGCGAGACAATTTCTGTTGTTAGTCTCCCTTAGCATAACTCAGCGACTTTCTAGTCCTAGGAAGGGCTTCTATCGTTTGCTAGTGGAGGGGGTCGCGAAGGATCCCCTACGCGAGGATCTCGACATATCGGACAATGAGTTTCGCTCTCACTGGTATTGGGCGCAAGCGGCGGATTACCTCAGTAACCCTGAGTTTTCGCTTACCTGGCGACTGGCTCGGAATCGGCTGCCTCTCAACGACAGGGCCTTTATATTGGGCTTGGCGGACTTGCCAGACTGCGATCGGTGTGGCCTTGGTCTAGAGGAAACGGCTTCGCACGCCTTCTTCCATTGTCCGCTCCTTATGGGACCATGTCGGCGAGCTGACGGCTCGTCTCGCTCCCGAAAAGCTTGTGCCCATGGATCGCGCATAAGCGTATGACAATGTGTCGTCCCCGTATTCCGTGGTGAAACAGATGGTGTTTCTCACGCTGCTAGCCACGGCCCGAATGGTGATATGGACGACGCGAG